TCACATAGGTGAGTCTTCTAGTGTAGAAGTTGATGCTACCTTAAAGTGGCACAAGAGATTGGCCCATGTAGGTGAAAAGGGCCTACACATCCTTTATAAGAAAGGTGTGTTTGGGAAGGACTCTATATCTAAGGTGTCTTTTTGTGAAAACTGTACCTTAGGAAAATAGCATAGGCTGCATTTTAACACAGGAAAACATAGAACCACCTCTATCCTTGAGTATATACATGCTGATTTATAGGGGCCTTCATCCACTGTTACTCAAGGAGGAAATAGATATTTCTTGTCCTTGATTGATGACTATTCTAGAAAGGTTTGGGTTTATTTGTTGAAACACAAATCTGAAACATTTGATAAATTCAGAACTTGGAAGATTCTGGTGGAAAATGAGATTGGGAAGAAAATTAAGATCATTAGGATTGATAATGGCCTTGAGTTTTGCAATGCTGAATTTGATCAGTTGTGCAAAGAATATGGTATTAAAAGGCATAAAACTGTACCTTATACACCTCAGCAGAATGGAGTGGCTGAGAGGATAAATAGAACCTTGATAGATAAGGTTAGGTGCATGTTGATAGATTCAGGTGTCCCTAAGGTGTTATAGGGTGAAGCTGTAATAACAGCTTCATATATTGTTCATAGGACCCCCTCAAGTGCTCTAGGAGATAAAACCCCTGAAGAGCTATGGACAGGATATGTTCCTGATTATTCACATTTAAGAATCTTTGGTTGTGCCGCCTATTCCCATCAAAGTATAGGAAAACTTGAACCTAGAGCCCAGAAATGTATTTTCTTGGGATATCCCGATGGGGTTAAATGTTATAGGCTATGGAGTAAAGAAGTAAAAGGTTTTAGAATCATCACCAGCAGAGATGTTACCTTTGATGAGTCAAAGATGCCTTGTTTAGATAATAAAGAACCAAAAGGGCTACCTGGTGATGAAAGAGGTGATGATACCAAACTGCAGGTGGAGCTTGGTTTACCTACTGAACCTGTTAGTGATGAACAGGTAGATGAAGAAGCTGAAACAGCTTCTGATCCTCAAGAAAATGAAGAGGAAAATGTTCAAGAAAATCTGGAAAGTCAGCCTGATGAATTGGGAGATTACCAATTAACTAGAGATAGGACTAGGAGAGAAGTAAGAGAACCTGTTAGGCATGGAGATTACCTTTCACTTGCTGTTTTGTCCTATCATGACTTAGTGTTTAAAGAACCAAAATCTTATGAAGAGGCAATGAGCTGCAAGCAGTCTGAGAACTGGCATGCTGCTATGATAGATGAGATGGACTCCTTAATGAAAAATGAGACTTGGACTTTAGTTCCAAAACCTGCAGGTAAGACCCTTATTGATTGCAAGTGGATCTTTAGTGTTAAGGAGGGAAATACTGAAAAGGTGCCCATAAGATTTAAGGCTAGACTTGTAGCGAAAGGATTTACGCAAAAAGAGGGCATAGATTATAATGAGATATTTTCACCTGTGATAAAGTACACAACAATCAGAGTTATGCTTGCCCTTGTTGCTCATTATGATCTTGAACTTGAACAAATGGATGTGAAAACTGCTTTCTTGCATGGTGACCTTGATGAAGTGATTTATATAAGACAGCCACCTGGTTTTATTGATGAAACTAAATCTGATCATGTGTGTCTATTAAAAAGATCATTATATGGTTTAAAACAATCTCCACGACAATGGTACAAAAGGTTTGATAATTTTGTATCTACTATTGATTTCATAAGAAGTGAATATGACCATTGTCTTTACTTTAAAAGAAATGATGAAAATGCTATTGCTGCATTTATACTTCTTTATGTGGATGATATGTTGCTGATTGGTCAGAATATGCATGTTATTAATCAGATAAAACGGTCTTTAAGTGTTGAATTTGAAATGAAAGACCTAGGACATGCAAAGAGAATCTTAGGTATGGAAATCACTAGGAAAAGGCACAGTAGGGTACTGTACTTGAAGCAAACTGCATATATTGAAAAGATGTTGACTAAGTTTGCCATGCATAACTCTAAATCTGTTTCACTTCCATTGGCCAGCCATTTTAAACTTAGTAAAGAGCAATGTCCTGTAAATGAATCTGACATTAGGCAAATGGAAAATGTACCTTATGCTAATGCCGTAGGTTCTGTCATGTACACTATGGTATGTACTAGGCCTGATGTAGCTCATTCCATTAGCTCACTTAGTAGATTTATGGCCAATCCAGGACTAGACCATTGGGTTGCTCTAAAATGGCTGTTGAGGTACTTGAAAGGATCTTCACATGTTGGTTTAATCTTTAGTGCTTGTAATGAAGGTGTTGTACTTAAGGATTTTGTAGATTCAGATTTTGCTGGAGATAGAGACAATAGGAAATCTACTGCTTCTTATATGTTTACTTTGTGTAATA